TCTTTCGAATTTGTTGTAATCGAACAAAGTTATAATGAATTCCACAGCAGCGACTTTTGAACCAAACACGAATGATTCCTTCTGATGATATCATAAATGGGGTATGCGTAAATTGAGCCCCAAAATGTTAATTGCATTATTAACTCCAGCCAGCATAAGACTAGAGAACTAGATGCACATAAATGGGGGTTTCCTTAAAACAAGCTTGCAACATTCAACGTGCGACAAACCTTGATATTGTTCGTTCATATCTACTTTCATCTTTATTTCCTTCGATGAAATGAACTTCATTTACTCAGAAAACATTTCAGCGATAAACATGGCAGCAATTATCCCATGAAAACCCTCTTGCTATTTTATACTTCTGCATCCATCGCAGCCTGTAAAACCAAATCAACAATTAGAATGCTACACAATCTAAATCGTGAAAGCATCATTTACAGTGGCCTTCAATCATACATCAAGCTAGCGATTTGAAATACAATCAGGGAGATGCAAATTTATAAAATCAAATACAATAGAACTGGAAGCAAAACTCACACTTTAAACCTGAGTTTACTCTGAAAATGCTTACACAAGGTCAAGGTTGCGTTGCTAAAATTGGCTTGCTATGCTTAACTATTGAAGTCGCAATGTCCACATATTTACTAGATACATACGAAGTGAACAGTTCAAATACAATGAAGACCGTGATCAGAAGTGAAGACCGTTACCTTGAAATGATGACCGCAACCTGAGTGTACCTTCTTCAGCATAAGCTTTCAGATTGGACTTTGCAAGCTCAACCGATTTTGTGCTTAGAAGTCAGAAGTGAGAATCAGAACCTACACCAGATACAGATCCAAGAACCAAACCATGACTTTGGGCGAGGTAGACACATCTTCAACTCTTTCTTCAAATCTACATAGACCAAAATAATAAAGGCTATAACCATGATCATCAGAACCACTCAGATATTTTGTCTGGTATTAGTAGAAGAACCCACTTACGAGGATAATTAGCTAAGGTAGAAAACAACTGAACATATGAACTCAGTGCAAGAATGAGAACAAGTAAATTAAAAAAAAAAAGATTTCTTATCTATATGAGACATACAAAAGCACTGCACAGAGCATGCAGCTCTTTTGAAACCTATCTCCTCCATAGTTAAGAAAACATTAACAAAATTACATTTTCCCAACACCAATCTAGAGTTGGTAAAAACATACTTTAAGACCCTACCAAAGATCGATCCTGGAGGGGCTTTCAACTAGACAGTTTGGATCTGTTTATAAAGCTTGGTTTCTGTATCAGATATATTAAATGGAAAATTTCATGAATATTTCAAGAAATAGGATATTGGAGGAGATACACAGAGAAAGCAAGATAATATCAAGAGCTATAGGGTCCGAATCTAGAGTAAGCGTCCAGTAGGACTGTACCACATCAAGTATATAAATAAATTAATGCATGAAAAGTACGTGGGCCTTTATTCTAAAAAAATGAATAGAGGGAAAGGGGAATAAAATGGAACCTCAGAAAATGAAAATGACACTCTTAAACATTAGCAATGAGATACAAGTGAAACTATTTTGTAAGCAACGCAAGGTACCTCTTTTGTAAGGAGTGTCTTGCGTCCACTCGGTTTAAGTGGGTGTTTGGTTTGGAAAAGGCATGGGTGGGGGCTTAGTCAGGTGGAGATTTGTAGGGAGTATCTCGCATTCAATCAGTTTAACTGGGGTTTGTTTGGAAAAGACATGGAGTGAGATTTAGTCGGACATCATATAGAGAGTAAGATGGATAGATGATTAGCATGCTTGGTTTCATGACCCAAATAGGATTAATCCTTCTGATTCAATTGGGTTCAAGCAGACTAGACTAGTCCATCTCCTTAATGGGTCTTTTCAAACCCTAACATCTTTCCTCTGAATTGCTCTATTAAATTCTCTAATAATCAGGTTTACAAAGTTCATTCTTACAAGCAAAAAGAAGTTGAGATATTTCCAATTTCATCTAACTAGAGCATGCGCGACTAGCAATAGGTTTCTGATGCTAAAAGCATAAATATAGAAGTATACACTCTTTAAATTGAATCTCATATAAAAAATTTAATTAAAAAAGCATACTCGCATATCCAATAATTTGAATATCTATGCAATCGAATTACATGAATCATAGATTCATATGTGGTAGCGAGAATATTCTATTCCAAGGCATTTTAGAAACAGCACCATTCATTAGAAAAGCCAACAAGCAATCTCAATAAACGGATTAGTTCATGTACTCAAAACCTAAAAGGGTTGCACAAATTACCTCAGAATGAGCTTTTTATTATTATTATTTCGGCAAAAATCGCTAGCCAAGACTTGGAACCACCCACATAGCCTTTCCCCAGTATCCTCGAGAACTAAATGAAAATAACGGGTCTCGTCCCACCTGACCCTTCTCTATATCAAACACCATCACCCCCTTATATTTTGGCTCCCGAACATAATCCACAAAATAAATGCAATTCTCTCTACAACCCTCCAAACCTCGGGCGCGAAAAGCCATAGCTTGAACACCATCCACAAACAATACACTATCCCCTATGCTATTCAGCTCAACCCAAACCAATTTCACTCCACTTGAATCCAACAAAAACACTTCAAATCTCCTTCCCTCATCTTCCGGTTTCCTCCTCACAAGCAGCAACTCCCCCTGCGGAGACTCGACGAGGTAATCGCGAACCCTCGAGCCCCTGACCAAAGGAATTTTCTCGACGTTTTCAAGAGTGCGCACATCGTACACCGAAAGGATTCCGAGATGGCCGAAGTAGACCCTCCCGTTGCAACACGCAAAATCAACATCCGAGCCAATCAGAAGGCTACTTGGATGCCTCCTCATAGCTTCGCCGAGCCTACAGAGCGAGAAAATGCTTAACCGTGAGCGGAAAGAACGCGACGAGATTGGGACCCAGAAACCTTGGCTTTCCCTGAGCACATAGCCCGATGTTCTTCCTCCGAGGCTCGGTCAGCGGCACGGGGGAGGGGGGCGGAGTGAGCGGTCAGGCGGGTGTTGGTCAGGCTAGGGTTCGAACAGTCCTTTGGGGGGTGAGGATCCAGCCCGGTGGGGATGGGTGGATCTTGTTGGTGGCGGGTCCCGGCGGGTCTCGGGGAGGGGGATGCTTGTACGGTTCGCTGTCGGCGAGGCTGAAGAAGAGGCGGACCGGTGGAGGTTCCGATCGCGGCGGGGAGGAGAAGCCATGGAGGTTTTGAGGGGGGAGAGAGGGGGGAGGCTGATTTGGCGGCGGGATCGCCACTGGAAGCAGAACGGAGCTGAAGGCGGAATTGAGGTCGGGGATTCTGGGTGAATGCTGGCGGCGATTGATTTCGAGAGCTCGGCGGTGGGAGGTGGGCAGCCAGTCTCTGTGGTTGGAGGGTCGCCATGAGGGTAACCACGTTCAGTGGTTCGGTTGAAGTGAGAGGGGATGGAAGGATTGAGGATGAGGATGAAGGGCGTGCGTGGCTGGCAACCAGAAGGAAGCTCGTCAGGTGGTGGGCAGAAGCAGGACGGAAATGCCGGGTGATAACAAAATTCCACGTAGTCCCAATTTGTTTTAAGGGGGTGTTTGTTTTGTTTTTTTTTGGGATATAGGGTGGATTTCAAGTTTTGGGATGTAAAAAGTGCTCTTTTTGAGTTTTGAGATTCCATAAACTTTGTTTGTTTTAAAATTAATTTTGGGATATTGAATCCCTAAATTATAAACAAATAATATATTTTTAGGATTTGTGAAATCCTCTCTTTTGTTTCAACCTTTTTTGGGATATAAGGTGGATTACAAGTTTTTTGGGTTTCAGAATTCCATAAACAATGTTTGTTTCAAACCAATTTTGGGATATTGAATCCCCAAATAATAAAAAACTATTATATTTTAGAATTTGTGAAATCCTACAATTGAGAGAGGATGTAGGTTGCATATTGATGTATTAATGCTTATAATATAAGATTAATACATCTATACCTCTATAATTATAGGAGGACCCAAGAATCACTGTTCATGCTTTAGTAAATGCTGCAGTAAATTACTGTAGCATTATATATATATATATAATATATTATATTATAAGCATTATATATATTACATATAATATTATATATGTATATATATTATATATAATATATAATATATATTATATTATATTATATATAAAGTATATATATAATATATAATATTATATATATTATATATATTATATAATATATATACTATATCTATAATATATATATTATGTATTATATATCACTGTTCATGCTGTAGTAAATGCTGCAGTAAATTACTGTAGCATTATATACATATATATATATATATATATTACATATATTATATATAATATTAGGGAAAAATGTGTCCAGGCCCCAAAAGCAGAAAGTTCATGTGGCCTGCCCCCTTGTATTTTGCCCCATGTGATTCAGCCCCAAATACACATTGTATTTGTGTTAAGGCCCCAAAGTACCAGATCCTGAGAAAAACCCAACAAAAGTTACAAATTTACCCTTTGATTTGATTGAGCTTGGTAACTGCGCCCATCCCTTTAACCCCATCCCATCTCTCTCTCTCTCTCTCTCTCTCTCTCTCTCTGTGATTCAGCCCCAAATACACATTGTATTTGTGTTAAGGCCCCAAAGTACCAGATCCTGAAAAAAACCCAACAAAAGTTACAAATTTACCCTTTGATTTGATTGAGCTTGGTAACTGCGCCCATCCCTTTAACCCCATCCCGACTGAGGAGGTCGTGGAAGGCGAAGGCGAGGACGGTGGTCATGGAGTCGGAGGTCGGGGAGTCGTCTTAGAAACAGCTCGTGAACGCGGGTTCAACAACAAACACGGAACATGGTCCGGGGGCCCGCGAGCTGACGGAGCCTGGAGCTTTGGTCTGATGCATCGTTGTTCTCCCCTTTCTAGGTTACGGAATATCTTTACCCAAATCAATGTCTTAATCAAGATAGTGCTCTTGTTTTCTTGTAATTTATGAAGGGAATCGATATTGGATTTTTGTAGTTTTTCTCTTTCATTTAATTGAAATGAGATCTCCTTGGATTCTTGAACAGCAGTTTGGGTTTTTTTTTAATGCCTTTTTCTTGTGTGATTTGGTGATTGACAGAGTTTTGTATAAGAGATTAACAGCAGAAATTCAAAAGCTCACATTGAATCTTCAGACATATCGACATTTAGCTAAAAATTGAAGATAATGTGATTAAAAGTCGACTAAAGAATCTAAGAACCTGTGAATTTGAAAGGGGGGTCAAGGAAAATTAGAACTATAAATGTTAGTTCTAAGGGCTGTTATGTTAGTTCTAAGGGCTGGAATGTTAGTTCTAATGGCTAGAACTAACAAAGAGCCCAATGTTAGTTCTAAGGGCTGGAATGTTAGTTCTAATGGCTAGAACTAACAAAGAGCCCAATGTTAGTTCTAAGGGCTGTTATGTTAGTTCTAAGGGCTGGAATGTTAGTTCTAATGGCTAGAACTAACAAAGAGCCCAAGAGCCCCAAGGCCCAAGGCCCAATCAAAGACCTTTAAATATATATTGTAGTTGCATGGGCTTGAACTCCTAACCTCCTCTCCAAATTCCCAAGCTTTACCACTAGACCAAGTAGCCAAAGTGTTAATGTTAGTTCCACTTAAAGTTAGCTCTTACTTGCCATTAGAACTAACATAAAATAAGTTAGAACTAACATGAAAATAAGTTAGAACTAACATGAAATAAGTTAGAACTAACATGAGTTAGCTATTGATAGAGTTTAAAAAATGGCATAAATAACTAGAGTTAGCTCATGTTTGTTCTATCGAAGCTCATGTATAAATTAGAACTAACTTGTTATAAAATAGAACTAACTTGCTATAAGTTAGAACTAACTTGGGATAAATTAGAACTAATGTGGTTAAAATTAGAACTAACTTGTTATAAGATAGGACTAACTTGATATAAATTAGAGCTAACTTGTTATAAAATAGAACTAACTTTGTATAAATTAGAACTAATTTGTTATAAAATAGAACTAACTTGGTATAATTAGAACTAACTTGGGATAAATTAGAACTAATGTGGTTAAAATTAGAACTAACTTGTTATAAGATAGGACTAACTTGGTATAAATTAGAACTAATTTGTTATAAAATAGAACTAACTTTGTATAAATTAGAACTAATTTGTTATAAAATAGAACTAACTTGGTATAATTAGAACTGACTTGGGATAAATTAGAACTAATATGGTTAAAATTAGAACTAACTTATTATATGAGATAGAACAAACTTTGTATAAATTAGATATAACATGGTATAAAATAGAACTAACGTGGTATAATTTAGAACTAACTTGTTATAAAATAACGCTTAATGTGGTATAAAATAGAACTAACTTGCTATAAGTTACAACTAACTTGGTATAAATTAGAAGCAACGTGGTATACACTAGAACTGACATGAACTGCGACAGAACTAACATGGTGTAGATTAGAACTAACACGCTACAAAATAGAACTAACATGGTGTAATATATATTAGATAATATATAATATATATAATATATTATATATATATTATATTATATATTATATAAATTATATCTATAATATATTATATATATAGAAGGACCCAATAATCACTGTTCATGATGTAGTATTCCAAATCCCTATATATATATATATATATATATATATATATATTAGATAATATATAATATATATAATATATTATATATATATTATATTATATATTATATAAATTATATCTATAATATATTATATATATAGAAGGACCCAATAATCACTGTTCATGATGTAGTATTCCAAATCCCAAAATATTATATAATATTATAATAATATATGTTATTAAAATATTATATAATATTATAATATATAATTTATAGTATTTCAAATCCCAAAATATTGATGAAACAAACAAAATATTATAAATTTTGGTATTCCAAATCCCAAAATATTGATGAAACAAACAAAATTTTAGAGATCCCAAAACATGTAAAAAATTTTATGGATTTCAA